GGTGCCCGGAGCTCAGTGGTTAGGGGGCCAGCCATGTGCACTGGGGCAGGTGGGTTCAAACCATCCCCAGGCCTGCTAAACAAAAGAAAAAAAAAGCCAGGCATTGTGGCAGGCATCTGTAGTCTCAGCTACTAGGAAGGCTGAGGCAAGAGAATCGCTTGAGCCCAAGAGTTTGAGGTCGCTGTGAACTATGATACCATAGCACTCCATAGGGTGACAAAAAGAGACTCTGTCTCAATTAAAAAAAAAAAAAAAAACTAAACATGCAACTACCACACAACCCTGCAACTGCACTCCTGGACATTTATCTCAGAGAAATGAAAACTTATGTTCACATGAAAACCTATACATGAATTTTATAGTAGTGGGGTGGCGCCTGTGGCTCAAAGGAGTAAGGCGCCGGCCCCATATGTCAGAGGTGGTGGGTTGAAACCCAGCCCCAGCCAAAAAACCGCAAAAAAAAAAAAAAGAATGTTATAGTAGTTTTATTCACAATAGCCAAAAGTGTAAACAAAATGGTTAACAGTAGACTAGAACTCAGCAGTAAAGAAAGCAACAAACTAGTGATACATTAACAACCTGCATGACACTCCAAATGTTTGTGCTGAATGAAAAAAGGCAACCCCAAAGGTTATATATTGCATGATTCCTGGTTTTCTTCCTTTTTTTTTTTTTTTCAGTTTTTGGCCAGGGCTGGGTCTGAACCCACCACCTCCGCATATGGGGCCAGGGCCCTACTCCTTTGAGCCACAGGAGCCACCTGATTCCTGGTTTTCTTTTCTCCCCTATAAGAGTCTTGTTCTGTCGCCCAGGCTAGAGTGCAGTGCATGTTAACTCAAGCACTCCTCCTACCTGAGCTCAGGAGTTCAAGTCCAGCCTAAGCAAAATCGAGAGAGACCCTGCCTCTAAAAATAAGTGGGCGTTGGGGCAGGTACCTACAGTCCTGGCTACTGGAGAGTTTCAGGTTGCTGTGAGCTATAACACCACAGCACTCCACTGAGAGCAACAAAGTGAGAAAAAATAAAATTGATGAATAGAATCTTCTGACAGCTTCATAAACAGCTACATTTTCCTGGAAAACCTCTTGACAAGTAACTTCAAATTCCCCCCAAGCAGGATAAATTTCTTCCCTCTGGAAATTCCCATGGAATTCCATGTGTCCCTATCTCAAGTCAACATTTTCTACAAAGCTCTTTCAAAACACAGACTTCTTTATTTCCCCATATTGTAAGCCTGTGGAAGACAAAGTTCTTATGCTTTATTTCTTCAGCTCAGAGGAAGCATGTAACACTCCAGAAATGCCTGGTCAATATTCGCTTGATTCTGTTTATGGCAATTTAGTCTTCAATATGAGCACTTCACAATAAGACCCGTGAGCCTCACAACACATTTTTATCTTATAACTTACATCGCTATATGTTATTCTTTGCATTTTATAAATGAGAAACTGAGGATAGGTGATTTGCATTCGCCACTCTGTTAGCAAGCTGTAGAGGGAGATTTAGATTTCACGGCTTTTGAAGATTTATGTGGTGTTCCCTAACTCCGGATCCCTCTTTCCAGAGCCGATGTCGGGCCAACCTCCCCGGAGGCTGCGTAACCCCACCAGGACCCCTACCCCTTGGTCGCCTACAAGCAACAGTGGGGTGTGACAGGCACTTGAGCCGCTGGGCCGAGGGTCTGAGCAAAGACTCGGCAGGGGCAGCGAATGAAGGTATCCAAGGCCCGGCCTCGGGGGCCAAGGTGGGGCAGGGGCCCACCTGCTCAAAGCCGGCTCCTCGTCGCTAGGCTCTTCAACAGCGTAGGGGTCGTAGTCGTCCGGGAGCCGGTTCATGGTGACCTGCCGAGGCCTATACCGTTCTCAGGAGATCAGCAGCGCCTATTTACTCAGTATGATCCGTCCCTGACGCATCTCTGACGCCACTTCCGCCTGCCCTTCCGAGTCCTCCCTGTGCGCCTGCGCAGACCGCCTCAGCGCTGAGGCGGGCGGAAGAGGCGGGTCCCCAACCCTGCCCTCAGTAGTTTCTGGCTTACGGGAAAAGTGCAGCTACTTTATTACCAAAAATAATAATAACCCGCACTGTTGTAAGTGGTAGTCTCTGAAATGAACTCTCTACATGCAGCATCTCACATCACCTACGAAGTAGAAATCTGGATGCTGAGGGACACGTAACCTAAAATCTAATAGGTCCTCGACCGCAGTTCCCGAAGCCGCTCCAGTTCTGCCTCCCTGCCTCCCTTACTCTGCGCGGCTCTCTGCCTCGTCTTCACACCACTATATCACTCCACAATCTGACTGCGGCCTCGGCTGTCTGCCGAAAAGGTTGCCTTTTCTCTGCCTCTGCCCATTCCCAACTTTTGTTTAGCCCTCATCCGACACCACTGGATACTGGAGGAGATGAGGTAGATGACAGCCCCTTGGTCGGGAGGCCATTTCCTCCCTGCTTTTCTGTACCAGCCTATTTTCAGGTTCCTCCTCCTACCGGGATATCTCTGTATCCCTGCCCTCTCCTGTAATACTGTTTGATTTCTGGTTGTCTGCTAAATATCTCCACCTGATGTACCACTGACAACTCAAACTCACTGTGGCCCAAACCCAACTCAGCATCTTCTATCCCATTTGTATACATCAGCCTTTAGCTACTTCGACTCATGTTATCTCCACCATCCTTACAAGGGCTATAGACTAAAAGTTCCCTAATCCTGGCTCCTTTCTCTGTCCCTCCATGAGTTCTCAATTCCCAAGCCTGGTAGATCTCTTAGCAATGTCTCTAACAGCTACATCCCATCTCCTCACTTTTGACTATTGATAGAGGCCCCTAATCGACAGTTTTGTTTTCCTCTCGGATCATGCTACTCTACATTTACAGAGTTAGCCTCTTCTAGAAAAATCTCAGGTCTGAATAATTTCCTTCATAAACAAGTCCTAATATTTCACTTTTTCCTGCTGAATCTGTTCACCTTAACCTGTGGTATTCTTGGTCCTCCACAATATAGTTCAATCTATCACGCCAAACTGATTTCCCACTGCACACCCTACACGTGTCCAACACAATTTGCTGATTCCAGAGTATGTGTTAATCCTCAGCCTTAGTATACGCTATTTCTTGGAGCACTCCCTCTTTATCATTTCCAATATCCAAAATCCATATGCAACTTACAGTGACTGTACAGAATGACCCTTAGAACATCATTCAGCCCTGAGATGCTATAGATATAGAAACTCACACTGCATTTTCTGTAATGCTTTTTAGATTCTTATTTGCTTTGACTCCTATAACATAGTGTACCACTCACTTGACATGTATTTCTCTGGATTTTTTTTTTTATTGAGACAGTTTTACTATGTCATCCTCAGTAGAGTGCTGTAATGTCACAGCTCACAGCAACCTCCAACTCTTGGGCTTACGCAATTCTCTTGACTCAGCCTCCCAAGTAGCTGGGACTATAGGCATCCACCAGCGTGCCCAGCTATTTTTTGGTTGCAGTTGTCATTGTTGTTTAGCTCTCTGGGGCCGGGTTCAAACCCACCAGCCTTAGTGCATGTGGTGGGCACTGCAACCACTGTGCTACAGGCACCGAGCCTATTTCTCCGGGTTTTAAGTACTGTTCCACCCAACCTTCTTAAGAAGTAAATATTCTCCACCCTTTTTTTTTTTTTTTGAGACAGAGTTTCCCTTTGTCACCCTCTGGTAGAGTGCCATGGCAGTCACAGCTCACAGCAACCTCAAACTCTTGGGCTCAAGAGATTTTCTAGCCTCAGCATCTGAAGTAGCTGGGACTTCAGGTGCCTACCACAATGCCTGGCTATTTTTTTTAGAGACAAGGTCTCCCTCTGGTTCAGGCTGGTCTTGAACCTGTGATCTCAGGAAATCTGCCTGAGTTGGAGTCCCAGAATACTAGGGTTACAGGCATGAGCTACCTTGCCCAGCCTTTAAATACTCTCCCTTGAGTCACAGCAATGTGAAAGAGGTGACTATAGGGACCCTTTCTTTTCTTTTCTAGGAATCATAGCTCTCCTTGGATATGTGACCTTATGTTTATGTTCATTCTGCTCCACAAAAGTTGGGCCAATTACATTCTTACTCTTGTGTATTTATTTATTTTTGAGACAGAGTCTCACTTTGTCACCCTGGGTAGTGCCATGGCGTCACAGCTCACAGCATCAAACTCTTGGGCTTAAGCGATTCTCTTGCTTCAGCCTCCCAAGTAGCTGGGAGTACAGATGCCCACCACAATGCCCAGCTATTTTTAGAGACGAGGTCTCACTCTGGCTCAGGCTGGTGTCAAACGTGTGAGCTTAGGCAATCCACCTACCTTGGCCCTCCCAGAGTGCTAGGATTACAGAAGTGAGCCACTCTGGCCTACTCTCATGAATTTAAAATTAAGAGTTAAAGATTCTGTTTGGCACAGTGGCACAGGCATGTACCCAGCTACTCAGGAACCTGAGGTGGGAGGATCACTTGAGCACTATGCCAACCAGTATCCACACTAAGTTTGGCATGAATATGGTGACCTTCCTAGAGCAGGGGAACCACCACGTTTCCTAAGGAGGGATAAACCAGACCAAGTCAGATAGAGGTCAGAACGCCCATGTTGCCAGGCAGATGGCTCACACTTCATCCTAGCCCTCTGGAAGGCTGAGGCAGGCTAATTTTTTGAGGTTAGGAGTTTGAGACCAGCCTGAGGAAGAGACCCATCTCTACTTTAAAAAATAAATGGAAAGGGTCGGTGCCTGTGGCTCAAGTGGCTAAGGTGTAGCCTTAGGTGTAGCCACATACACCTAAGGTAGCGGGTTCGAATCCAGCCTGGGCCCGACAAACAACAATGATGACTGTAACCAAAAAAATAGCCAGGCATTGTGGCGGTTGCCTGTGGTCCCACCTACTTGGGAGGCGGAGGCAGGAGACTCGCTTGAGCCCAGGAGTTGGAGGTTGCTGTGAGCTGTGATGCCACAGCACTCTACCCAGGGGGACAGCTTGAGGCTCTGTCTCAAAAAAAAAAAAAAAAAAAAGAAAGAAATGAAAAGAAAGAAGTTAGCTGGTTGTTGGGGTATGCTTCTATAGTCCCACCTACTCAGAAAGCTGAAATCTGGAGTTTGGGGTTGTTGTAAGGTAGGCTGATGACATAGCACTGTAGCTTGGGCAAGAGAGTGTGACTTTGTCTCAAAAAAAATTAAAACAAGGCTGGGCACCTTGTAGCACATTGGTTACAGTGCCAGCCACATACACTGAAGCTGGCAGGTTCAAGCCCAGCCCAGGTCTGCTAAACAACAATGACAACTGCAACCAAAAAATACCCAAGCATTGTGGTAGGCACCTATAGTCCCAGCTACTTAGGAGTCTGAGGCAAGAGAATCGCTTAAGGCCAAGAGTTTGAGGTTGCTGTGAGCTGTGATACCAAGGTACTCTATCCAGGCAAAATAGTGAGACTCTGTCTCAAAAAAAAAAAAATTAAAACAAGAGGCTTGGCAAGGTGGCTTACACCTCAAATCCTAGCACTGTGGGAGACTGAGGCAGGTGGATTGTTTGAGCTCAGGAGGTCAAGATAGAGAGCAAGAGCAAGTCTCTGTCTCTACTAAAAATAGAAAAGAACTACTTCCCGGGGGTCATGGCAGTAGCCTGTAATCCCAGTTACTAGGTAGAATGAGGCAAGAGGATCTGTTGAAGCCAAGAGACTGAGGTTGTTATGAGCATGCCACAGCACTCTACCCAGGGTGACAGAATGAGACTCTGTTGAAAGAAAAAAAGAGGCTTGGCACCTGTGGCTCAAGTGGCTAAGGCGCCAGCCACATACATCTAAGGTGGTGGGTTCAAATCCAGCCCAGCCCGCCAAACAACAATGATGGCTGCAACCAAAAAACAGCCGGGCATTATGGCAGGCACCTGTGGTTCCAGCTACTTGGGAGGCTGAGGCAGGAAACTCACTTGAGCCCAGGAGTTGGAGGTTGCTGTGAACTGTGATGCCACAGCACTCTACCCAGGGGACAGCTTGAGGCTCTGTCTCAAAAAAAAAAAAAAAGAAAAGAAAAGAAAGAACAAAAGAAAGAGAAAAAAGGAAAGAAAGAAAGAAAAGAAAAAAAAGAAACAGTTAAAAAATCCTTTCTCTCGCTCTCTTTCTTTTTTTTTTTTGGTGAGACAGTATCTCACTCTGTTGTCCTAGGTTGTAGGTTACAGTGCCAAGGCATCGGCCTAGTTAACAGCAACCTCAAATTCAAGGGTTCAAGAGATCCTCTTGCCTCAGCCTACAAAGTAGTTGGGACTATAAGCAATCACCACAATGCCTGGCTAGGTTTTTTTTCCTATTTTTACTAGAAATGGGGTCTTCCTTTGGCTCACACTGCTCTTGAACTCCTGAGCTGAAGAGATCATCCCACTTCAGCCTCCCAGAGTGCTAGGATGATAGTGCCTCCAGAACAGTTAAAAACATGTATTCAACAGCTCACTGCCAGTACCTGATAAAAGGGGCCAGCCCAGGATTCACTGATGTAGAGTTGTGAAATTTCATTTTACACTTTTTTTTT